AATAGAGGGCAAAGCTGCTCTGATCTCAGCAGAGCATCTCTTCTTTTGTCCTAGTGGCACACATTGAGATTGATGTGAGATTAAGGACCATCACCCTCCTAACAATCGATGGAAATGACAATTCATCTGAATTTTTTGTCAGTTATTCTCACGTTGATTACCTGAACGTGTGTACCTCATTTATAGATGCTTTATTAAAACAAAATTGTCTATGTCACTTGAATATCTTCCACTGTTTTACAAAAGTCAGCTACAAAACTTCATTTCCTTGCCTCTTAATCAGCTAGATGACAAACCTAACCTGTTTTCTTTCTGTGTGTGTTAGTTTATATAATGCTGAACCTATTGTTTTCAGTAGTAGTCTGATTTGTCCCTGTGATAAGCCCTGTGGAGATGTGATTATTCCAATAAAAATTCATTCAGTTGGAAACCAACCCTCCAGCTGTTTACTCCCACAGTCCCCGAGCTACACTGACACTGTATGGAATCCTTGAACAATATTTAATGTGAAATCAGAAGCATCTTTAAAATATTTTACTTCAGGCTCTATAATATTGTGTAACCTTAACAATAGATTTCCAGCGTCCATGAGGGAACACTTTGCAGTTAGACAACTTTAGCCTTGACTGCTGTGTTCATCCTTGTGAAATGCTATCAAAACTTCCCAGCAGCTGAAGAACACATCAGACAGTAAGATTTCAAGTGTTCATGTGTGCACTCCCTGTTTCTTGTAAACGAAGGTGTGCAACTCTCGGAGTTTCTTGGACAGAAAATGTGTCTGAGTAAAAGCTGAACACTGCCAGCTCTGTGTAATGTATGCAGCAGTTTGCAATTGCAGCAGCACAGAGACACTGCAAATCTGTTACATATGTTCTTTTCCGGGACAAAAAGAGGTTTGGTCTTTAAGGAAGAGCTGTGCTCTTTGCTTTATTTTAATATCCTTGGCCTGAAAAGCGAATAATTTGTACTTGCATTCTTTTCAGTTTGAACATTGTTGATGTTTTCCTGTTTTGGCAGGTCCAGTGTCCCTTAGCACACCAGCTCAGCTCGTGGCACCCTCCGTAGTAGTGAAAGGCACCCTTTCCATCACTCTTTCTGAGCTCTACTTTGAGGTGGATGAAGAAGATCCTAGTTTTAAGAAAATCGACCCAAAGGTAAGAGATCATTGACCCTGAGCTCTGAGAGATGATGACAAATTACCCAAGAGCTTTAATTCTTCACTTGACTTCCTTTACCTCTATTGGGCTGCAGTGTTGCTGCTGTAATAACTTTGCCACTGACCATATATGTTGCTGAACTTCACATAGGTGACACCTTCTTTCCTGCTCCTTTCTCTCCCCCTCCCACAATTCGACCCTACTTGAATGTTAATTAGCTTGCTGGGAATAAAGCTCCAGGGAGACACGTCTGAAATAAAGACATCTTGAATCACAGGCCTGTGTGAATACGGAGAAGTTCAGTGAGGCTTTTAGCCTGAATACTTTGTTTTGCTTTCTTGATTTTTAGCAAATGTCAGTGTAAAACAGCACTGAACTTCCCACACTCCTAAGTTTGAGGTGCTCCTGTCATATTACTCTATAACACATTTTACAGGGCCCGTTATTATTTATTGTGCCTAAGCATAAAACATAATTGCCCTTCTAAAAGATGTTTCTGAGCTGACTTGCTAATTTCCACAAACTTTATTTGCTCCGAGCTGCTTGATTACTTGTCTTTTGGTTAAAATTAGTAACCTTTGGTAAAATTCCAATTTTGAAGGGAGCATATAGTACAATTAGCTTAATAACATTGCACTTGAATGTTTTCTAGTGTTACAGCAACATTTCAAAAGTAGGACACGCAACTGGTAAATATTCTCACAACTTAACCATAGTCACAGCTCTTGGTTTCTTAAATACCTGTCTAATGTTCAACTGGGTAATAATTTCTTTGGAAAGGGTACTGCTGGAAGAAGTAGTGGTTTTCTGCTTGTCTGTAGAGAGAATACCTTGTGTGTTAAGCACCAGTTCAGTTCTTTGTTCCTATTGAGTAAATTGCTCTTGTCTGTATTAAAAATGGCATTGCTGAGTCTGAAAGCTGGGATTATCAAATCCTATCGGGGAAAAAAATTATTTTGAAAAGCAGCGTTCTCAAATTGTTAGAGCCAGATTTTAATATAAGCGATTAACTCGAATTGTGATTTTATGCGATACCATAAATGAGATTTAACTTTTCTTTTGGTCCTGAAGAATTTTTGAAATATATTGGAAATGATTTTAAGTATGAGATAGTGCTTAAAATCTTTATATGCTTACTCCTTCTATTATATTTCACTAATTCCCCCACATTTAACTAAAAACCTCATTTAGTGATGAAAAGAATATAAACGTGAAATTAAAGTTAGTTTGATATGTTACTGTATTGCATTTTCCATCTAAAATGTTCTGCCTTGTATTGTATTAGCATGAGAAAAGTCTTACAGATCTACATGATGCTGCATTTTTGGTTTTCATGTTCAGCACATGGGGTCTTTTGAGTATGGTTACTAATTCTTACCATTCCTGTTACATGTTTTGTGGGAACACTGACATATAACATATAGTTAGCCTCCTTTTCTCCTGCTTCCCAGTATTTGGTAGAGGTTGTTTTCTTAACTGTGAGCAGGCGTTCTCGTTTGGTTTGGCTCTATCTTTTTCTCTGTATCTGAGCGATTTTCTTAGAGCTCTTATAACAGGAGAGGTTGGTTACATGAAATACTGGCTACACCTCTTACATTCTGCTTGCGATGTTACTTTAGCTGAGGTCTTTAAAATTAGAAAAACCCAACCTTTTATAATGTCTCAGGGGTGGGGGGGTAGCTAAAAATCAGATCTGAATAATTAAAAAAACTAAGTGATCTTACAAACAGCATCTTTTCAAGCATTAACGCCTCCCTGCCCCACCCTGTGCTGAAGGCAATGTATTTTGATAGCGATGGCGAGCTGCTCCACAAAATGCCCCTTCGGAAAAAAAAAAAAAAAAGAAAGCGCCCCAACAACTAATCCCCTGTAAGCTCAGCAGGCCTCCTTAATTAATGAGGCTTCATCTGTTTGATAAATTTAAGTTCCCTGTATATTTGTCTAAACTACTGAAAAGAAAACATTGTGACAAGTTCCTGAAGGAAAACCTGCCTTAGGTAGCGATAGCATCGGCAGCGATACGATCAGAGTTTATCCGCGGGCTCCGGGCTGTTTGGGAAGGAAAGGGCAGCCCCGCGGGCTAAGCCCGTTCTGCCAGGTGATCCGGGACCAGCGCTGCGGAAAGCGCTCAGACGGCTCCACCAAAGACTTGTGGAGCTCAGCCGGGGCCGGAGGGGGCTGCGGGTCCCGGGGTGTGCCCGCTGCGCCGGCCAGGGCACCCCGCGCACCCCGCTCCATCGCCCCGGCTGCTGCCGCCAACGAGGATTTCGTTTGTAAACTCAAAGGCAAAACGAGTTTGAATGATTATTTCTTTCTGCCTCCGTCCAAAAAGAAACGAAAATAGTCCTTTGGGGCAAGAACTTGACTTTTTTTTTGGTGGGTTTTTTTTTTTTGGTTTTTTTTTTTTTGCCTCCCCCCCGCCCGCGAAAGGCTATGAAAACTTTCTCGAAATGCTCCGAGCCGGCGTCGCAATCTTTCGGGCAGCTCGAGCGGGTAACGCTGACGTTTTTAAATCTTAGGAAAGCGTTCCCGATAAAAATCCTGCCAGTATTTCTCAGTCGTCCCGAGCAAGTTTAAAGCGAAATGGCTACGGTGAATCTAAAGCAAAGCTTCGCTTTGGGAAAGGGGGCTCGGGCAGGAGGGAGATCGGCAGAGAGCGCCCGGGTACGGATGGTTTCCTGACGAGTTCCCGCTTATCTCCCCGTCTGACTATGCTTCGGTGCGATTTTATGCTGTACTTAAAAATCTGGGCAAAAACAAATGTTTGTTTAAAAAAAATATCGACCGGTTGCTCTAAATCGCATTAATTATTCAGGGTAGATCTATACTTCCTTCGTGTCAGAGTCAAATGGATAGCGCGTTCGCTCTGGGAAGCGAAAGCAAACAGCGATGGGTTTTTAAAACAAAATGTAGCGCTCGAGATTTACCGGGGGGAAATAAAAGCAAAGAATACCATTAGGAAAAAATAAATTAAAGGGGGAAAAAACCGGACTGTAAGGTAGGGAAAGGCATGCTGTAATTCTGACTAAACTGTGGCGAGCTGCTGTGCAATGCTCCATATATTTCAAGATTTAGAACAGAACCTTAGAGTAATAGAAATATAGCAGATGTTGTCACATGCTGAACTACAGAATATATATGATTTTTTTTCTTAGATGCACTTTTTTTTGTAATGGGAACTAGAAGAAGGTTTAGAAAATATCAACCAATATGCTGAGCTTAGGCTTGGGCTAGGTGTTGCGTTTAGCCTATCTTTACATCTCGTGGTTTCATTTCTTTTTAAAAAAAATAAATCTTTCTGAAGTTCAGAAAGAATCTACTTGCCTGAATTTAAGAATCATTCACAAAAAGTCAGCGTAAAGTTAAAGTAATATTTTTATTACTATTTGCAACAAGTCAGTTGTGGGGCACATAATCTGACCTTGGCACCGAAATACATTTAACATCAGTAAAACTTTTTTAAAGGGGGATTTGTACATATAGTTAAATAATTTTTTCACTTGGTGACAACATTCAGGCAAACAAGAGAGCATAAGAAAAGGACTATACATGGATTGGAAAATGTACCTTTCGGGTTTCGTTTTGAAGTTGCAAAAGTCCGATCGCTTCTTTTTGTGACCTTTTAAAAATTCACATCGGAGGACACAGGAGGAGAGAGGCTCTTCCCTTCTTCCGTGCAAGGCGGTGAGAGTTTATGCCGGGAAAACCGTCGGCAAGTTTTTAAAGGCCGAACTGCAGGTGGGTGGGGGGGTGGCGGGGGCGCGTGTCTTTCGCCGCCTCTTTCCGTCGTCGTTCGCGTTAAATAAAAAGTTTTTTAGGCGCTGTTGTTGTTTACGGAGGGCGAGTTTTTGTGCGCGGGGGTGTTAACCCTATAGCTTGTCGAGGCTTTTGGGATTGGTGAGGATTTCTCTGGCTAGCCTCCAGGTCTGTTTGGCAGCGCTTTCCAGGGCCGAGTGGGGTTTGCCCTGAAAGAGGTCTAGGTTGGGCAGGAAGTAGTGGGGGCAGCGCCGGCACTGCAGGCAGGAGATGAGCTGCAGGAGGATGCCGTTCAGCCGGTCGCCCAGGCACGCCTCGTCCCAGTCGGTCTCCCGCGGGTGCTTCTCGCACTCGTACAGCAGCAGCGTCTTCATGTGGTAGTTGTTGAGGGGCTGCCCGGGCAGCTCCAGGTGCCGGTCGCGCAGCGTCTTCAGCACCGACAGGCACTTGTTCCTGCAGCCGCCCATCAGCAGCCGGTTCTCGGCCTCGCCGAACTGCAGCACCCACGCGTCGCTCTCGGCCGAGCTCTGCTTGCCCGTCAGCGAGTAGCACTCCTTGGAGAGCAGGTTGAAGCCCTCCGCCTTCACCTCCGCCACCCGGTTGGGGCCGGGCCAGGGGATGTGGGGCATGGGCCACTGCGCCGCGCTGCGCGGCCAGATCCCGGTGCACTTGAAGGCGGGCGTGATCTGCACTACGTACCGCTCCCGGATGCGGAGCTTCACCTCGCTCGTGTCCGCGATCATCTTCACCACGTCCCGGTAGCTGCACTTGTCCACGGCCTGGGCCACCAGCGTCTGGAAACGGGAGCGGATCTTGCGGGCGGACAGGTAGCCCGAGGCGGTGATGAACTCCACCCAGAGGGACATGCTGCGCTTGCGGCCGTCGCTCAGCTTGAGCACGGCGCAGCCCGGCAGGGAGCCGTCGTCCACGAAGTTGAAGACGCCCATCTGGTTGAGGTAGAGCACCACCTCGAACTCGGTGGGCGAGATCACCTCCAGCCCCTCGTAGCGGGCGTCGATCTCGCTTAGGGAGCTGATGAAGCGCGGCTCCTGCACCTCCACCTCCTTCAGCACGTCCGACACGACCTTGCACACCTCCCGGATGGTCTTGGCGATGGCCGCCTTGCGCGCCTGGCAGCGCTCCGTGTAGTATTTGTTGAGCTGGTAGACCAGCTTGGCCTGCGCGGCGATCATGTTGGGGCACAGGTCCGGGCTGTACACCGGGCTCTCGCAGTACGTTGAGGGATCCAATGCTTTAGCGGTGGCTGCAGCTTTGCGGAGGGCACCGGCCAAATCGCAGACCCCCACCGCCTCCGGGAAGAAGGCGGCAGCGGCGCGCCAGTGAGAGCAATTAAAGAAATCGGGGAGGGCGGCGAAGCACAAAGGAGCGAAGCCCAGCGCTGCCCCAGCGAGGAGGAGAAGGAGGAGGAGCGGGCCGGTGCGGGCTGGGCGGCGGCGGCGGCGGTGCTGGTGATGCCGGGGCCGGTGCCGGAGCGGCGGGCAGCCCCCGCGGGCTCCCGGAGCGCAAAGTTTTGGATGGCGATGGGGGCAGGGAAGTCTGGGCTGCCTCTGCGCTCAGGCGCCCACCCCCCCGCGCAGCGACAAAAATGCCGTTTCAATAGTTCATGGAAGGAAAAAAAACAACAAAAAACAAACCCAAAACAACAAGCAAACTTCCCCAGGACTCGCAGAAGGTCCCCGCAGAAAAGCCGGTCGGCGGCGAAGTTTAAAACCGCACACGGTACGAGAGGAGGAGAAGAATGCGAGCAATGCCCTCAGCGGAAGAGTGAACTCTGTGTCTGTCTGTCTGTCTGCCTCTCTCTCTCTCTTTCAGTCCGTGGCACCGCCAGAGATGTGCATGAGTTTGGCTGCCGCTCGCTCAGACTGTCAGGGGGTGTTGTTGATTTCCCTTTTCCTGCTGGAGGCGTTGGCTGAGCCCGGCTCTGTGGCTGTCTCTATCTTTAGGCGCAGACGGGTGCACTTGGTCTGTGATCTCTCATTCCCGTCCCGCAGCTCTCTACATAGATTGTAGTGAGAGAGAGACTGTATGATGGAGAGGAGTTGTTGCTTTTTGTTTGTTTGTTTGTTTGTTTTCTTTGCACAGACTGTGTTTTATCCTGAGCGGGAGGAGGGCGTAGCTGCCGTGCCCGGGCTGGCTTCTCCTCCCCCTCCCCAGCCCTGGAGGTGCGCTCCGAGGCTCCCGGTGCTGTCCGCGCCTCTCGCTCCGCTCCTGCCGCGCCGTGTGCCCGCGTCCCTCTCGCGCCGCCGCCGCCGGGCCCTGTAGTTTATGAATGGGGCCGCGCGCGGGCGCGGGGCGGGGCCGCGCCGCCAATCGCCGCCGAGCTGTCAGCGCCGCGGCCAATCGCGGCGCCCGGCGCGCGCACACGCGCCCGCGCTCCCGCCCCCCCGGCCCCGCGCCCGCTGCGCGCCGGGGGCTCGGGGCCGGGATGGGAGCAGGGTGGGGAAGGAAACCGAAAATCCCGGGAACTTCGCCGTGGCGGCCGGGGAAGGGCGAGGTGAGCTCTCTGCTCCCTCCGCTCGCTGCCAGGGGACCCGGCGGCAGTGCCGGTGTGTGCGGGGAAAGGGGAGAGGCGGGCCGGGGCTTCGCCGCAGGCATAAATCTTATTTCGCTTAATGCCGGGCTGCAGCAGTGAAAGTGAGACCGTCACCGGAGTAGCGTGGCACACCTTGTTTTACTGCCCCCAGTCACCTTAATTTAGATAAATCTTGTGCCATAAAGTTCTTTTCATCCTCCTAAAGCTCAGGATTGAGTTATTCGAAAGGAAACGATATTTTGCGCAAGTTTGTATTAATAAGAATATGGGATGGTTTGGACATAAAGCCGTAGCTCCGTGGTGTCAGGCCGGAGGGAGCCCCGGGGCAGTACCTGCCGCAGAGCAGCCAGGTCTGCTTCTCCTGCGGGCGCTCAGGATGGAAGGCAGGGCAATTTCCACACCTCCAGTGCTCGGGGCAGGGGTGCGTAGCTGCTCTGCCCTCCCCCGGGCCGTGCAGTCCCGCGGTGCGGGGCGGCTCTCCTCGCCCGGGAGCCCCGCCGGGGCCGTGCCCGTGCCCGTGCGGGGACGCGGTGCGCTCCTCCATGCAGAGCCTCCCGGTAACCCGCTCGCAGCGGCTGGGCTCAGCTCCTTGAGCTCTCTTCCTTTCGCTGCAGCTGGCTGATTTTAATAAAGAAAATACCGCCGTCTGTTTTCTGTGTGCCTTTAAATTAGAAACATGTCTGGTGCCGACCGTACCGCTGGAAGAAGTAAGTATGGACGTGCCCGGCGCCGGTGCGGCTCCGTCCTCCGCGAGGAGAGGATCGGCTCCCTGCTTCCCTGCCTGCTTCCCTGCCTGCCGCCGGGGCACTGTGCATCCGGGGATGGGGGGGGGCTGGCCCGGCGGTGTCCGGTGCTGGCGGCGGTGTCAGGTGTCCCTATCGGGAGGGAGACGAGCCCGGGGAATGCTCAGAGGGGTGCGGGAGAGGGGGCAGCTGCCACGAGGGCAGAGTCGCTGGTTCCCAGGACGCTGGCTCCGCTGCTCGCACGGTCTCTGAGTGTCCCGGGGATGCACCGGCTGGAGCGGGGCTCTCCGCCCCGAGGCTCCGCGGGTGAGTGCCTGCGGAGCTGCTCCCTCCCCGCGGGCGGCAGAGCCGGGCGGGCATCGCCGCGCTTCGCTTGAGCCGAGCTTCTCTGCGCGGCTCGGCCGACCCGGCGGAGCAGCCAGGGTCCCACGCCTCGCCTCCCGCTGCCCTCCGGCAAAGGGAAGAGTTTCTTAGCGCTGGGAGTCTCTTTCACACGCCGCCGTCAGAGCTCCCGGGCAGTACTCGCTGCCGGGCTGGCACCGCTCTCCGGCCAGGGCTCTGCACAGCCGGGCAGGAGGGCTCCGCGGGAGCTCCCAGCCCAGGGCTTACCGTGCCCTGGCGCGGAGGGGATGCTGGAGCCTTCAGGCGGCCCTGGCAATGCCGGGGGCATACTCGTTTGTTTTGTTTTTTTTTCAGGGTAAAAGCAGGAGGAGGGGACGATTCCCTTCTCACCTTCCCCCCCCCCGCGAAACGGTGCCTAATGAGTTAGCGTTACTAGTGTTCAGATTTAAAACAATTCATTACCAATTTTCCTGCCTGAGGTTGAAGCCCTAGTAAATAATAAATCAGCTAAACAAAAGCTGACTTTAATTTATTGCCCCAGCGCTAATTAGAAACATCATTTGAGCAATAAACTTAAACACTTCCAGCAAATAATGCACATGAAACCCTTCTCTCCCGTGTCTGGGCGTTTGTGGCCGCACTGCATTAAGACCAGCTTCATCTGTGGCGGAATTTGCTCTCGCCGGGATGAATAATTGAAGGGGGAACAGGATCCGAGGAGGCTATAATTGAAGAGCCCTTGTCACCTCTGCTTTTATGTATGTTAGTGTAGAAGTCCATCAGCAGCTCCTTGATGGTGTATAAAACGAAGTGGCATCCCCTCCAGCAGCAGGAGATACTGTATTCCATTAAAAAGACCGTGTGCGTGTGTGTGCCGCAGAGAGGGAAACTCTCAGGGCTAAAAGCCACTTGAAGTCTTCAGACCGATTGATCTGTATTCTCTCGTTATAATCCGTCTCATCATACTTGAGTTAATGAGGCAGGGGCGGGGGTGATCTGATGGTCCTTGACAAATTCATTAGGGAGGCTGCGGGACATTTTATTTGACTGTTAAACATCGTGTTTGTTTGGTTTAAGCAGTGCCAACATCAGCATGCCGCTGCCTGGAGCTATAGTGTTTTGTTAGCCAGGGCTTCTGTAAAAAGATACTGGGAAGGGGTCGCGGTGTGCAGTGCTTGCTCTTGCCTTGGCTCCTCCTGCCCCCTCCCGCTCGTACGGCGGGGAGCTCGGGCGGGTGTAAATCCAGCCCTGCAGGCTAAGGATGTGCCACGGTATTTTCTTCGCACTCAGGATGGCAAAGTAGCAGCGATAGGCTGCCATTAAGACCTCTTATTCTTTTTTTTTTTTTTTTTTTTTTTTTTTTTTTCCCTTCAAGAGAACGCTATGCGTTTGTGTTAACCGCTAAAACAACGAAAGAAAAAAGCTAGAAAGCAGCTCGGAGTTTTAGCAATAAGCGTACAAGTTTCTTGCTGTGTTATGATATAGCGTACTTTCATTTGATTGCCTAGCCAGCTTATCAACGTGGCATGCATTAAATATTTCATAGTCTTTTAATCACGACTGATGTATTTTAAAGTTTCTATAACATGCTACTGCTATAAAGTGTAATTTTTAAGGTAAATCAGAGTTTAATCAAAGCGACTTAAGGCTATTAAAGGATTTCTGTCAAGCCTGTCCTTTTTCTCTCCCTTGCTGGGAGGCAGAGGGAAAAGTGAATTCTGAAGCAGGTGCTCCCAAAAGGGCTGAGAAGTATTTTTAAGAATAGCATATGAAATATGTATGTGTTTGTATATGCTTTGTTCATGGCAGCTTTGCAGATGAGACCCAGCTAGCGTTCCATTATTTTCAAGTAGTTGGTTTCTTCTTTGTCCTTTCATTTAATGGAAATAGTTTTGCAGAAAACGGAATAATTAATCTGCTTATGGAACCTAGCATTGTGTTATTTTTTTCCTGGAGATCAGTCTTCAAACATTCTCAGCTTTAAGTGCTTTGTAGGACTCTGCTTCCATTTATAGAAGAACTGTATGGGAAAAGAGCTAGTGCCCTTTGCCTGTCATTTTCATACATTCCTGCACTGCTGATGAAGCTTGAACTGCTGCAGGGAATGTATGGATTTGAAAAGAAATGATTCAGTAATGCACGTTGTGTTTCTCCACAGCAGAACCGGGTTAATAGTTGCAGCCAACGCTGCGCTGGGTTTGAGGCATAAAATTCTTTTTGCATTCGATGGTGTACAGTGTGTACCTCTTTTTGGGAGTCATGGCTGGGCTTTAGTATCTGTTGATCTGTTCTAAGAGCTGTGTGTATGAAGTTAGTTGATTGCATACACCAGAGGAGAAAGGATGATTTCATTTTTACAGATGTCATTAATATATCTCATCAGCCTTAAACGTTGTATAAATCTTGTACCTTTTTTTCCCGGTGAAGATTGAGTGGTATGGCAATTAAAGAATTTATACATGTTTCTAAGTCTCCCCTAGCTTTTGTTTCTTCAGTGGGAAAGGGGTTGGTTCCAGCTACTCCTTTAAGTAGCTTATTTCTGCATTTCTGTTCAGTCTTAAAATGTGAATGTGTTCATAATCTGGTGTTTAACCATAAGCAATCTGCTGCTGAGGGACTTTCTCTAATGTTTTGAACTTTGTATTAAAGCTAGTATCTTTTCT